CCAGTAAGCAGATGAGGTTTGATGATTTAAGCTGAGATCCTTTGATACTCTGACAGGTAAAAAAAAAAAAAAATGCTGCCTTGTATGTAAACTTCCATCCTTAGACACAAAGCTAACTCTGTTTTGTAAACATGTGAACTTTTTTTAATGACCATTCTTCCGAATGGCTTCTTCCCGGCTGTCTCTTCTCTGACCTCAGAGCAGCTCTACAAGGTTACCTGTGTCTTTGCAAGTCTAGTTTTATCCTTTCTTACCTTAATGTTAGAAGGGAGATAGATGTTCAGTCCTCTTGTGAAATGAGATTTGGTTTCTATATAATAGCATTTTCCATAATAACTGCTGATATCATCGAAGTAAAGAGAGCTTCTTTTCCTAACTACCCATGAACAAATTTGGCTTGTTACATTTCTGCCTCCTCCAGAAAGTCTCATTTCTCCCCACTGAGTATGACTGACTCCAAGGCATTGAAACCGGTTCCCTAATTAGGGATTCATTGAACAAGACTTCAGTGAATGAACTTTTTTAGCTATTTTATGGAAAATGAGAAGAGATCTGCTCCTATTTCATTCTTATATACAATTGCTCCTGTACAGTGGTTAGAAATTTTGAGATAGATCATTGAGCAATCTGGGTTTTCATCTAAGGAATACTTAACAAAAGTCTATGTTTTGCCCTCATTTCTGAGAGGCTTGTTCAAAACGGAAATGTTGAAACCTTTCAAGAATGTTTGATCAGCTTTTCTAATAACATCTAAATTCTAAAATGCTTACATTTATTTCTTTTATTTTCTTTTCTCCTTTTCTCTTGCTTTGCAATAAAGGGTACATGCCAGATCATTATAATTTCCCTGAAAGTCATTTTTATGACTTCATTTTTATTAGTGAGAACCAAGCATTAATCTGCTCAGACTTGCTTAGTAATTACTTTAACCGGGTTACTTTTCCCATCATTTCTTAGCTTTCATCTCCTTCTTGTCTTCTTACAGAGTTCTCTAGTAGATTTCCAAATAACTGGTACAGAAACAAAACAAGTTGTGTAGTGATTTAAAACATAGGATGTTTACACAGACCTTTTATTATGGGAAAGCTATAACAATAAATTAGTACAGGTTATCCAATAACAGAAAATTCTGTGAAGAAATGGTTCCATCAGAACTTGTAAAGAACACATATTCTCTTGTTATTTTTCTGACAATAACATGTCACATATCTTACTTTATTATTTATATACATTCTACTAATGGAGAATTAGGAAGCAGGTTGCTAGAGGAAGGAGAATGAAATGATCTTTTGCAGTTGACTTTCTCAAGGTTACATGAGACCTTCGTTTTAAAGTGTAGATTACATTATTTTAGCCCCTAACTAATGCTATCATTTAACTCTGGTTTTTCTTGATTTCCCAAAATGTAAACTATAATAAATGACAAAAGGACACTCCAGGTTTTTTCATCAGAGAAACCAATAACACTATCTCCATTAGATGCTTCACCTAATCAATTGTTTTCTTCTCCTGATCCTATTTAGTTTGGAGGGAATGTTTGCATGATTCACATTTACTTGGGTGGTTCCATTTTGCAGTGCTGATTGGCTCAAATTTCTACTTCGATGTACTAGCAATGGAAAAAGGAGATAGAACCAACAGGTTCTCTTAATATTTTAATACAAAGGAAAAATAAACAGAGGTGAGCCCCAGCTTGAGTTATAGTCACTCAGGCATCTGGACTAATTACTACTTGCCAGGCACTGTGTTAGAACCTGGAGAAACAAAAACACAGAAGAGACTGCCTGGTCAATGGATTCATACTTAATACTTTCAAAGATAGAATCACAATTCTGTGTGCTCACTGGTAGGTTAGAGGTATGTATGGTAGGTATGCTGTCCATACTGAGTAAAGATAAGATCATTGATGGAGGTGACTACAGGCTAAATCCTGAAGGATAATAGATAGGCAAAACCTTACGAAATGATAGAGAGGAAATGGAGTCTATACAGGTTCAGTAGATTAAGACAGGAGTCAAGGATAATACCAAAGCATAGAAAGCTAGATGCACAGTGGAAGATTCCTTTAAATAAGGAATTGAGAAGAGCAAGAGTAGGTTTTAGAAGGAGAAGAAAATGAGTTAGTGTTGGGCTTGGGCTAGGTAGAATGTCTGGATAGAATGTTCAACAGATACACAAAGAGTTAGGGTTTTAGAACCCAAGAGTGAGAGAACTTGGTTAAAAAAAAAAAAAAGATTTGAGTCATTAGCCTATAGATGACTGTATTTACTCATTCAATAAATATTCCCTAACTGCTTTATTTTAGGTATTAAGGACCCAATGGTGATGAAATCAAATACTAATATGGTTTTCACAATATCAAAGTCTAGACCAGTAGCTCATGTCATGAAAGTGAATAAAATAATTTAGGAATTACACATGTACATATACAACGCACTGAAGAAAGGTAAGAGGTAGGAGAGGAAGAGAAACATAGAGAGAAACACAGACTTTGGAGAACAAAAACATTTAAGAGGTGGGCCAAAGAAGCAAAGCAACCTGGAGAAGGTGACAGAGTTTGCTCAATAATCTCAACAAAGATCTTCCTGACCAAATCCTCACAACTCAGCTTACTCCTTAAAATATATTACTTGATCTTGCTCTGGTGGCTCACACTTGTAATGCTAGCTACTCAGGAGTCTGAGATCTGAGGAGCATGGTTCAAAGTCAGCTCAGTAGAAAAGTTCATAAATCTCTTGTCTCCAACTAACCACCAAACATTCAGAAGTGGAGCTGTGGCTGAAGTGATAGAAAACTAGCTTTAAGTGAAAACTCTGAGGGCCAATGTCCAGGCCCTGTGTTCAAGTCTCAGTACCCCCGCACATGTGCTCACACGCACACGCGTGTGAGCACACACACACACACACACACACACACACAAATAATATATAACTTGGTGTTTTGGTGGCACGCTTAAAGCACCTGTGTTTATATTTACTCAGTTCAGGAATTCTTTTTAGTCCTTTCTTAAAATAAGGGATTCCAAAGGCTGGAACTAAGACAAGTATCAGCCTGTATCTCAAATGACAAAGACAGAGATGAGCAAAAGTTGGAAACACATATAGATTTTCCTATTCAATTTTGAATTATATGTCTTTCAAGTCAATCTTAGTGTATATTGTGGCTGGATTTCCTTTGTTAGGATCTGTGAGATAAATGCAGTCTTAATGTTACCCCAATAAGAATGAGAAGAGAAATGTTATGGTCTGTGTTGTCAAGATCTTTTGGGGAATTTGTATTTATTGGGGGATTTTTTTCCCTTCTCAGTTCTCTTAATCCAAGAGATAGCACCTCAGGCACTTACAAATAAAAGACAACTGAGTAAGTGGGTGAAGGTTGTTTTGACAGGTAAAATTTCTTAAGTAATTTTAGAGTGAGATTTTTTTGTCATTTTATTTACAAGTATTGCATAGCCTAAAAAAAGTAGGGATGTCTTATAGATTGTGTGTTTGACATAACTTTAACTGAAAATTTTCTTTTGTGTCTCAGTAAAAATCCTTATACAAAAAGCCATTGTGCATGAGGCACCCACTGGCTCACACCTGTAATCCTAGCTACTCAGGAGGATGAGATCTGAGAATCACCAGTCAAAGCCAGCCCGAGCAGAAAGGTTCATGAGATTCTTATCTCTAAACACCAAAAAAGCCAGAAGGGGAGCTATGGTCCAAATAGTAGAGTGCTAGCCTTGTGGAAAAAGTTAAGATAACTCCGAGACCCTGAGTTCAAGTCCCAGGACCCACCAAAAAAAGAGGGACAGCTTTGTTATATGTTCAGATTGGTCTATTATCCTATATTACACTTCTTAAAAGTATTTTTTATTGCAAATAACAGTTGTTTTTAAAAATTCTCTTGAAATAACAACTGTTTCTCTGAGCCAAATTTGAAGATGAAGCTGACAGATGCACAGACAGATCTGTCACAGAGAATCTACCTATGTGGACTTAGAAAGTCATTAAGGTGCAGAGCCAAGAGGGAAACTGTATGGCATAGTGGGTCTCTTGTAAGCTTTAGGGTTCTGAATATGCCACACAATTACATGAATAAGCAGATGAGATAAGGGATAATGATGGAAGAACTCTGATCAAGAAGCACTGGGCAACATAGATGGACATGTTAAATTGTAACCTTTCTTGCACAATCTTTTTGAAGATCAGAGAAAAAAAATAACGTAAAAGGTAAAAAAAAATTACATGAATGATTGGTGTTAGAAGTAATATCAGACTTTTTGGTCAGTCATGGGGCTTGGTAATATTAGACTCAAAATTAATCATATCCAGTAAACATGAAGAAGATAGAAAATTTAAAGGTTAAGCCATTTTAAACCATCCATTTATGGTATTTTCTCCAAAACAAGAAAATAAAATCCATAAGCCTCACCAAAAACTCTTTATTCTCTAAACAAGGTAAATTATTACTTGTGTAAAAGTAATTTGTTTGCATGTTTCATGAAAGGATCTTGGTTTTTCTATCATAGCTTTTTACAAATTCTCCCTGTAGTGCCTGTAGAAATAAAGGGAACATCTTTAAATCTTGTTTGATTTAAGTGAATGAATCATCACAGTAGATACTTCTTTAGAGAGTAATGTTTCAGAATGTTCAGGGACTTAGGTATCTAGCTGATTCGTAGGTGTGCTGTCTGTTCCCATTGCTCAAGTCTCAGCTCACCCAAGGTAACCATTTCTCTTCAGTTGTCTTTTGCTTCAGATTTCCTGTTGAATTTACTTCAGCATCTCAAAAATCACCCAGTTGTTTTGTCATAGCTTTCCACAACCTCCAGATTCAAACAGAAACTTATCTCTATAACCAAATGACTGGTCCTCCCACATAAACTCAAACAAAGCTGGCTAGGAGATTAGGGATCGTATTCTCTTTAATCATAATGAAACGAATATTTAGAGCTCCGTTGCCTTAAATGTCTTCTGTTTGTGACTCTTGGTTTTCTTTCGTTTTTGTTTCCACAGGACATTTGGGCTTCCAGGACAGTTTTGTCACATCAGGTGTTTTCAGTGTGACTGAGCTAGTAAGAGTGTCACAGAGTAAGTACAAGTGTGCTCTGATTTGGTTTCTGATTTGTGTCTACTTTCTGTCTAGCCCCCCTAGTGACATAAAACACTTTCAGATTCCCTTTTTATTCTGCTATTGGAAGAATTCTGCCCAAAATTTGTTTATTAAAAAAAAAATCAAGAGTTTTGAACCAGGAAAATTAGGTATTTTAACGTGAGACACTCAGGAGATGGATCAAAATCCTGAGTGGCTCATATATGTCATTGAATTTGGGGTGAACTTAGTTTCCAAAAAATTGTTAGTCCTCTTTGATTTCTAAGAAATTCTGCATTTTAAGAGAATTTGTTTCTGACCTTTAAACAATGCTAATGTCCTCGGTATGAGTGACACAGTACAGCATGATCATTAGCAGCTTGTCAATAGTGACTAACCACAGTGAGTGAAGAGTACCTGCCACCAGCCCTGTGCAGTTGATCAAAGGCCTATTGATTGTATTTTTACTACAGCATAAACCAGACAGTCCGAGGAGAAGTAGAAGAGTCTCTTTTCTTCCATCCTTCTATCCATTCATCCATCCATCTTTATCTACATCCCTCCCTCCATTTATTTCTTCCTTCTTCCATATCTCTCCCCATCTTTTTCTCCATCCTCTCTCTCTCTCTCTACAAACACACACACACACACCCCTTAAGAACATCTGTTTGCATTTTTAAAAATCATACTTACAATGATAACTAGGTTCTAGGTCTCAATTTTTAAGACACAAAATACCAAAGGTTAATATTCTTTTTTATTTGCCCCGCCTACTTCAAAATACCAATAGTAGGTAAAATGATTACCTATTTGATGTTAAGTATTGCTTTCAAGTGGCATCACGTCTTTTATGAAATGAGATGGAGTAAAAGCACGTTTTTACTTCATGTTCGTTCTCTCCATTCACTGCGTTGCAGGCTTACACGATTGCCAGGTAAGCTAGTTCCCTGCATGAAAAAAACACAGGTGGGTAAATGAAGCCATCCTGCTCTCCTGTCTAGATTCTGTCTGTTCTTATTTCAGTCATTCTCAGGATGGAAGAGTCTTAAGCATCTAAAAAGTAATATAATTCTTTCTCATCTCTGTGAGAAAGAACCCAGAGACTCTTCATATGCATTTACTACTCGTCAGACATTGTTCTAGGCCTTTGAGGATAGTATACAAAATAATCAATGCATTAAACTTTTCACATATGAATTTAACCCCATTTTGACATGAGTTAGATTGAGGATCTATGGAAGTTACCTAAAGTCAGTGGGCCAGTGGTTCAGCTAAGTGTAGGTAATATAGATTGGGTCAAGGGAACTTTAAAAAAAAATCTACTCTGTAAGATTAGACAAGGAAAAAGTGGGAAAGTAACTATGGATGTCAAAATTCCAAGAGTCAGGGGCTCCCTAGCAGATTCTGCAGTGTTTAGTAGAGGGAAGTTGGGATTCCAAGGAAAGAGGCATTAGGAGCAATAGATGATGATTTGGAATGCAGCAGCTTCTGCTCTCTAATGGAAGTGTGCTTAGAGTAACAGCCAGTTGAGAGTTGAGAAGATTAGATTGTGTTGTTAACCAAGAGGATGTATGCAGCCCTGGTGATTGCATAGCTAATAATCAAGCTATTTGTCATAGACAAATAACAATGCATGGTTATACTATTCACAAGACATTGAAAAGGATCAATATCCTACATTTTCCTTATAATTTACTAATAATAGGAGTATAAAGAGTATATATCAGAGTGTACCTACCATTGTAGCATAAAAGGGAGATAAATTTTTGAGCCTTTACTGGGATCCAAATATAAACTCAAAGATTTTTTTTAATGTGCTTTTAAACTCTAAGATTGGAGCACTAATCCATTTTATTCTGCCCTGGCTGCTGTAATGCTTACATTTAGTCTTCATTACCATCAGAATTCCAAGGCCTGGGGTTGTTAAGACAAAGCCCATGCTGCTGAAAACCATCTCAGCATTGCAGCCTTTTCCACTTCCTGTACTCTCCTTTTACCCTTTCTCCATTGGGTCTTAGACAGAGTAGTTGCCAAGTGAATTCTAAACCTGCTTCAAGACTGCCAGAGGGGATGGTTGTACCCAGGATTGAGTTTGCCAAGGGACCTGGATTTGTTTTCTGTTCCTGTGTAGGGCGTTGTGTAGCTCATGTCTGGCATCGTGAGCATCCTTCGGCTTCTGAATGCCTTTTGATTCTGCACGCTGCTGTGTAATCGCTCCAGGACTCAATCACACATGGCCTTGTGCTGACTGAAACGGTTCGGCAAGAGCAAGATTGGGCTGTGTCAGCTAAACCATGGCTTCAGGCCAAACGGATCAACTGTATTCCAGAGACCCTCTCTTCCTCATAGATCCTTAATCTAGGTTTGTCATAGTCTATTTTACCAATTACCTGGGTTGCTGTGACAGAGATCGACACACTCAGGTTTTCTCATCCGCACTCCTTTCTGAAAGACTTGCCACCAAAATCACATAAGGTAGTTGAAGTTCTTAGCCAGTTCCTCAAAGTGCACTCTGCTTTCTCCTCTGTACCAGTTGGGATCTCCATATTAGGGATACTGTTTGAGGATGAGTAGGGATGAAGATGCACCCTGCATGCCTGAATAAGAAATAAACTAACAGGCACGAGTTGATTAAACCAATGATGTTAGGGTGCCATGTTAGTATGAAAAATTGCAATAGGTCAAATTTATCATGCATACACTATGAATAAGCTGGCAGACACTGTCAATTCAGTGCTGCCATAGTTGGGGTCAGTTTGTTTTAATTCAGCAGAAGACCATGTTGCTCAAAGATATTACGCATCTTGCCTGGCTGTAGACACGTTTGTATTACTCTGTCCTGCATTCTAGAACCAAAGAAACCCAAGGATTCAGAACTTTTATTTATATATTTTTTTATTGTGAAGACACTGTACAGAGGGGTTACAGTTACATGAGTAAGGTAATGAGTACATTTCCTCTTGAGCATTATAACCTTCTCCTTTGTTTTTTCCAGCCATCCCTCCTCTCCCCACCTCCCCAGTTCCTCTCCCATCCCCAAGTTGTAGAGTTCATTTTTTAACATAGTGTCTTGTACATCTCATTGTTACAATGGGTCAGCCTGTATCCTTGTTTCAGCATTTTGTTATTTCCTTTCCCCTCCCCAAATTAGAAAAATGTATATACAAGGTGCAGGGAGGATTCGGAACTTTTATTGAGTAATTAGTTCTTGTTGAATTGGTAAACATTTAACTTGTTAATAACTTGTGCTTTAAAACATGATTAAGACTATTTTCTTTTTTTTTTTTTTAATTTAATTTTATTTTTTTTGTGAACATACTGTACAGAGGGGTTACAATTACATGGGCAGGATAATGCATACATTTCTTACCAAGCATTGCAGCCTCCTCCTTTGTTTACCCTTCACCTCCCTTCCCAGCCTCCCCCCTCCCTCCCACCCAATCATACCCCCCGCCCCCCACCGACATTGTAAAGCTGGTTTTGACATGACATTTTGTACTTCTCATTGTTGCAACAGGTCCACCTGAATCCTTAAACGACTTGTTTGTCCCTAAGACTATTTTCATGTAAACTAGAACTAGTAAAATGTTTAATTCTTTTCAGGTATGATTTTGCTTTTTACTAATAAAATTTATGAGGGGGTTTTGTTGAGCTTCTTTTTCCCTTCCAGTGCTAGAGATCAAGTTAGGGATTTGTACAAGCTAGGCAAGTACTCTACAAGGTTATACGCCCTCAGCCCTAACTTAGTTTCTTAGAGCAGGTTTTGAGGCTTATAGTTTTTAAAGAGGTTAACAGGAAGTACAGAAATCACTTGTACTCATCCTCTGCAACGTCTCCTTATTAACGCCTTTTATTGGTATGGTATATTTTTTGTAATTAATGAGCCAATATTGATATATAATTGTTAAAGTAAAACCATAGTTTATGTTGGATCCAGCCTTTTACATTTATTGCTCCTGTGCTTTCTATTGGCCTTGACAAGTATGTAAGGACATGTGTTCACTTTTATGAGTATCATATAGAATTGCTTCAACTGCTCCAAAAGTGTCATGCCTTATTTGATCATACGCCCACGTCCCATCTTTTCATTCTCTACATTCTTTTTCCTTACACCTGGATATATATAAATATAAATATATACACATACATACACACATACATACACTTTAATTTTTATTTATTTATCTATTTATTTATTTTTGCTGGTCCTGGGGCTTGAATTCAAGGCTTAGTCCCTGAGCCTCTATGTGCTCAAGACTAGCACTGTACCACTTCAGCCACAGCTCCACTTCTGGCTTTTTCTGAGTAGTTTATTGCAGGTAAAAGTCTCACAGACTTTCCTGCCTGGGCTGGCTTTGAATCATGATCCTCAAATCTCAGCCACTTGAGCAGCCAGGATTAGAGGTATGAGCCACTAGCCCCCAGCTTAAAGATCTCCCTGCCACCCCCTCCTGCTTTTTTTTTTTAATGGGGTTTGAACTGAGCCTGGGTGCTCAAAGCTAGCTAGCTCTCTACCACTTTGAGCCACAGCACCACTTCTATACCTGGTTATTTTTAATGTCTGCAAATGCCTTCCTCTGTGTTGCAGATTTCTTCCTTACCTCGCCTCCCAGACTCATCTGTTTTGCCATTTCACCCCAATCACACCAAACCGTGGCCATACTCATGACCTGGGACTCTCACAGTAATCAGTAATGATGGCCTTGACCTCAAAGAAAGACTGATATTTTTTTTCCTTCGCTACTTAGGATATGTAAAATTCAGTTTTTAAATTTGACAGTATAAATATTTACTTCCACCAGGTTTCCAGCTAGTTTTTGCCTTTCCATTTTCCTCCTTTTGGGCTGTCCTAGAGTAGGGAGCTGCTATTTCAGTAGTCCCCCATGAGGATTCTCTGAAATAACGATGTGCTAAGTTTGTTGTTTATATTAGTGTTCCTGCCAAGGTGGCAATGGCAGAGAAACTCTAGCAAAAGCTGCTGGCCTGTAGTCACACAGTC